AGCAGGCCGTGGGTGCTGAAGAAGTGTGGGCATGGTTGTAATTTGGGTTACAAGAACAACAGATATGGGGTGAGTTCTCAAGCGTCAGTGTGGCCTGACACTTTCATGCTTTGTTTCCAGCTGCAGTACTCATTTGCAGAAAACACAAAGCTGAGAGCCTGCTTTAATCCCAAGGGCTGAGGCCACAAGCACAGGCCTGTGCTGTCAAAGGACTTAATCAGAGCCAGCAGCCGGCCAGAGAGCTTTCATTTATCATGTGCATGTTCTGATGGTCTCTGGCTAAAAACTCATTCATTTCTGTGGGTGGTCCACTGCACTGTGAACTTGACATATTAGTTAGGGTTTTTTTCTTTTGTGAAAAGCATACAAGTCTTCTCCCTGCTTCTAACAACATTATAATTTGACATAGTGTCACAAACAGGGGGTGTGTCTGCACAAGAGGCTCCAAAAGAGAGCATCCTTGCTCCTTAAATATTGCATGGCATGCACATCTCTTTGGCAGGTTGATGTTTGTTTGGAAATAAATCCTTTTGATCCTTCATTTAATTCTGGCTTCTTTCTTCATCTCTAGTGAGTCTTATTTAGATGCCTTCTCTAAAGGGTTCAGATATCAGAGAATTTTCTTTTGTTAGGTTTTGCTGCTGCTACTGTGATTTTAAAAGGAAGCATTCCCAAAGAAAAAGGAGTTCAAAGAAACGACTGACTCTTCTGCCAAGTTGTTAAACTTCTTCTGGTTGCTGAAGAGTGCCAAACATCAAATGGCAGAGTATCTGGGGGCTTTTGTTCTTGAAGGTGAAGGGGGAAATTTTAGTCCAAAGTACATTTCACAAAGGTAAAGAATGTAGTATATTTTTAAAGTATTTGAAGATGAAGTTCTTCGATGTGTATCTGGGTTTTATGAGCTCCACTGATACCATCAGATCAGCAGATTAATTCCATACTTATTTTTCTTTGTATTGACAAATCCAACCATTCAGAATGAAGATCCATCTTCTGGACAAGGGTTTATAACTAATGTGTAGCTTTAACTGCATTGCAGGGAAAGTGCATCATAATTTTGTCTGCCACGCTCTTCCGACGTCTTTTCAGTTTTCTGGAAAGAAGCTGTTGGAAAGCTCAGATTCTTGTGAATGCAGGAGTTGGAATTGGGAAAAAAAAAAACAACTCTGAAACTTGAGATTAAATCCTGGCATTTTAACAGCCTTGCTGGCCTGGCTATGCTTTGCTGCACTTTGTCAGTCCCGACTCAGAGAAAAAGTATTTGCCTTCTTCATGTCCACTGAATTCTTTTGTCTCTGGTAAGGCAGCTGCAAGCTTGGCTTGTGCTGCTGGCAGAGGTCATTCTGCAAGGATCTTGTTGATCTAACTTCTGTAAATTTGGTGGTTTGAAACAAACTCAGAGAAGACAAGCAGGCTTTTGTTACGAGCAGGGCGAGTTCTTTTATATGTGGTCTGCAGCTCATATGTTCGTTTTGAAGTCAGGACAGTGTGAACTCGTAAAAAAATAAACCAAGACGAGAGCAAAATTCCACCACTTAAAAATCAGCCTTAAAATGGTAAACACTGGTAAACAAAGCTGAGAATAATCAAGGGGGGGAAATGATTTGTGGTTTCAATTAAAATAAGCTTCTGATCCTACCAATAAACACCTGTTCAATTTTATGTGTTTAGTTGGGTGACTGCTGGGGGTTACAGCTCCAGAGCAAGACTGGACTAGCTGAAGCACAAGTTTAAGAGCCCTTCAGCAGAAAAGTGGACTGCAGGACAAAATGAAGGTTTCTAGAGCTATAAACAAATCTGAACAGAAAAAAAGAATATCTGGACTATTTTCCCTGCATCCAGGCATAAGCAACATCAAGCCTTTGTGTTTTTTTCAGTGTGGTTTGTGTAGCTTTTCAGGTTGAAATAAATGAAATAAATCTTTAAATTTAATCTTATTTAAATGAAATAAATCTGCCAAGCTGAGAATGTCACCTGAGTGTAAAGGCAGAGAGGCTGAGGTGGAGTTGTGGCTCAGTGGGAACACTGTGGTGTGCACTCACAGGAACTGTGCTGGCAGGAAACAGCCAATAATAAAAAAAAAAATCAACAAGGAATGGTGGCCAAGTGTTTTCATAGGGAAAAATTGGCAGGAAAATACCCTTGTATTAAAAGGTATTAAGAAGTGTTCTGCAGAAGGGTAACACGGTAACTTTTATTGCTGACGTGTTTCTGTTAGTTTAAACACTTTTTCCCCAAACAAATATATAAACCAGGCATGTTTTCAGTATTTCAGTTTGTTTCTCCTGTGGTTGGTACTCTGTACAGTTCATCATCTTACCTGGGACTTCTGTGTGGTACTTCAGTGGAAACAAATGTCAATATTCCTTTAGAATCTCTGGCTTCATTTATCACTGGCTCTAATTCTTTCCCCCAACTGATAAACTTCCTGAGGTGCAAACTTATTCAAGTGTATTTTTTATGTGTATTTTTATAAGTTGGCTGAATTCTCTTGGAAAAGAGAACATGTCCTCTTCTATAACAATGAACTTTGTATAAATTATAATTGTATCCAGAGATCTTTTAGATTACTCATATTCCAGGCAGATTCTTTTTTCTATACGAAGAATATAATCTAATCTAACTTCTAATTACTTTTTTTTTGCAAAACCCTGTATCAGCATCCACTTCAGTATAACCACTAACTGAAAAAAACATTTGACTATTTTCCCCTTCTGGAAAGTAACAATTATTTTTTTTTTCCCTTATAAAAAAAAGTCTCTTCCATCTGTTTTATGATTAATCCTTGTCTGAATTCTTCCCAACACTGGAAATATGGAAACCAGACCGTGGTACAGTCTTGCAGCTTCACAGCCACCTGGTATGCCATATCACAGGCACACAGCTTAAATATAAATCTGATTTGTATGGTCAAATGTTTTACCACAGGAATTGATGATAACTAATGTAGCAACTACTGGAAGTTCCTGTTATTTTTTTATCAGATATTCTTTTCCCTTAAAACATGTCCAAGCACTGTAGGGCAAAGTGGGTAAAATTAATTCCATGGATTTAATTTAATAATATAATTATTTTCATAGCTGACATATTTTACTTCCCTTTCTAAGTAGAAATTCCCTTTCTAAGTAGATTTTCTAAATATTTTCTGCTGTTGCACTGGTTAAGGGCCAGCTGGACATCTTAACCAAGGGGATGCTCTGTGTTGTCAGTAGATCTGTAGGACTCGGGGGCCTTTTTGAGTTGTGAAAGTTGCTTGTTATATCTTCTGTAATGGAAATATCTAACCTATAAAATTATTTTTTATATGAAAAAAACACCCAGATTTACTTGCAGAATTTCAGCCTGTGCCACATAATCTAATTTTATAAACTGTTGCTGCTTGTTGCCAGCAATGTCAGAGTTAACTTGTGAGATTTAGGTTAAGCTGTGGGTTCAAGTTCTGCCTGAGCTGAACATCCCGTTTCTTGATGCAGGCACATACGTAACTGCCTATGACCAGGCACCTAATTCTGTTTGACAAGAAAAATGGGAAGAAGAGATTACTATCCCAAGAAATGCTGTGACATTCCCGCTGCCCTGAGGGAAGCCATTGTGAGCATGCCTTATAATCCCCTGAACTGAAGGGACTCTGTCCTGGAAACTTCAGCACGCTTCCAAGAGAAGTGTCATCCTAGGTAACAGCGGTTTCTTTCCGAGACACTTGTTCCTCTGGGTGCAGTTGCTGTTTGTAAGGGATTCAGACTAATGTCTCAAGGTCTGGGTGACCCTTCAGTGCTGTCGCAGGGTCACTGCGTTCATCTTGCTTTGTCCGCGGGCGTTTTGGGCAGGGAAGCTCTGGGGGTCCCCAAGTTTTAGGCCTGAGTGTCAACAGGGATGATCCTTTTCTTTATGAGGTGGGAATATGTCATGCAGTGAATGTTCTGCTATTGAGTGTAGTAGTTTTTTATTCTTCTTCCTCAGCTTGTCCCTGATGCTGCTTACAGGAATGTTCCGCTGTAAATTAGAATAAATTAGGGGCCCTAGAGTTGTGATTTAAAACACTGAGGTTTCCCCTCAGTGGCAAAGCTCTCGTTCCCTCCAGAGAGAGGATCGTGTCTCCTTTCAGAGACATGCAGCATATTTCGGTTAGTACACATTACATAACTCGTCCCACATTTCTTTCTCTTTTTAGTATCCCAGTGTTATTGGAAATTATGTTCCCATTAATCATTATAGCTGCTCGCCTCTTTCTGTGAAAATAAATTACCCCGCACTGCCCTTCCTGCCCAGGAACATATTTAAATGACAACGAGGATACGTCCAGGATTGGTTCAGGGAAGGGAGTGTCAGCTAATGGGGCTTTGCTGCTGCAGAAGGATGAAAGCAGGATTTGTCTGTGTACTCAGTGGATTGCAATGCTGTGTGGTGGTGTCACCTGCCAAATAAGATTTCCCCTCTAGCACATGCCCAGCTCGTTTGAATGTCCGTGGAAACCGTGTACACCCACGGCAGGGGGACCTGCAGCTGAGCCCTTAAATGTACCAGTGAACCCACTGCCTGTTTGGTCAGACCTACACTGAAAACACTTGGGCAGGAAAAGCAGAAAGAACCTATATGATTGGGAAAAACCAGCAGGCCTCCAAATTCCTGTTTTAGCTTGTCACCAACTTTATTGAGGCTGTTTTTAGAAAGCATTTAAAATCTAGACTTCTAAAATTACACATCCAGCACCATGTTCAGGCTGCAGATCAGGGGGCTGATTTTAAGCCATGATGGGCATTTATGCTGTTTACTGTTTTCAGGTCTTAACACTTCTGAAAAGTAAGTAATTTTTATTTACATGTTTTGAACATAAATTCAGTGACTTACCTTATCCAACAGTGTAAATATAGAGGCCAGGTTATTTTTAGACTTCCCAATGTGGTACTGGGCAAGAAGACTTTTGACACAGAGATTGCTGGTTACCAAACCACAAACTTGGACCAACATTTTTCAGTGTGTGTCTGTTTCTCTTTATTCAGGACATGTGAAGACAGAGAGAACAAGTTACAGGCTGCTTGCAGATGATCCTCAGGGAACAGATCCTCTATCGAAGGTCAGTTTTCTCCAGTGAAGAGATCTGAGGAAAATTCAGCCTCAGGACTTACTGAGTTTTCTTTTAAAGTATTTGTAAGAAATGAATTCAGGATTAGTTTTACATAGAAAATGAGTTTTTTCTTTGGCCTCTGAAGAGAGATGAATTTGCTTTGGTCTTATGGAAGACCACCTGTTGTATTTTTGAAAATGAGTGTACAGTACAAAAGAGATCAGAAGTTTTAGGGCAAAATGGGCCCATTTCATTCAGACAATTAAGTACTTAAGAATCAAGCTTTTCTACTGACCTCTTCAATTCTGTGCTTGGAAATGAAATCCTTACATAATGAAGGTAGCAGCAATTCAGAAGACATCTAAATAAACTTTCTGGTCATCTTCAGCTGACAGTCATGTGACTAAAGCCAAGGATGTTCTTCTTGCAACCGTGTAATATCTGCTGACATTCCAGGCATTAAGTGTCAGTGAACATGCAGGCTTGTGAAGCAGGGACACCTGGATGTGTTTTAAAAGCTTTCAGAGACTATTTTTTATTATTTCAGAGACTACTAAAGTAGCAGAATGATTATTTATTACTAAGGTGACATGTCTAAAGCTCAAAGTCTGCCTTTGGCATTTGTGAGGATTCTTCTTAAGGTGTTTTTGCATAGGCAGACTCGGTATTAGCAGAGAAGATGTGGGGTCTATTGATTTTGTGGGTTTTTTCCCCCAGTAATCAGTCATGAGATGTAGACCTCATTTCTGAAGTTATGGTCTGGCTGAACTTGTTTTTCTATTTGATGTTTTCATTTTCAAAGAAGCTGAAGAGTTTCTGTTTTGTCACTGTTAATTACCAACCATCTTTAGTGAATTGTCACTAAATGGTACTGGGGATGTTGTTGTTCTGCTTTGTGACTTCTCCAGTGTCTGGGTATTTCCTGGTGCTCTCATTAACATTGAAGTTAATTGGAATACTTCATGGTTGAAATGCAGAAAGCCTGCAGTTGAGCAGATGTTCTTTTTATGACTTAGCATAAAAGTACTGAATTAGAAGTACCATTTATTTGTTGCAGTGTCATCAAGATGCGTCATGACCTTACCTTTGAAAAGTTTGAACATTGTTCCCAACACTGTTTAAAAGGCTCTGCTTGTTGATGCCTTACCTGATTACATGAGATTGAGTACTGGATCATTAGATTAAGCAAGTATTAACTTTAAAAGTGTAATATATCACAACTGAAGAAGTGTTACTACATTATACCTCCCAATACACCTTTCAGTTGACCCTCTGAAGTGCAAAATATTGCAGTAGTTTGCACTGTGTAGAGAACATCTACTATATCACTGTGCAGTTGTTCTAGGGGTAATGTCTCACTTTGTGATTAATTCTTGGCATTTCTTCCATTTTTTTCCTTTAGCTGTTACTGGAGTCATGCAGAAGAGATCCCTCAAGGAGCAGGTTGCCACAGTAAGTATATTCCTTACAGTATATTTGGAAGATGTACAATAGATTGGATACTATTCTTTACCAAGTAGGAACAACAGCCTTGGAAGTAATACTTGCTGGATTACACCATCATTAGTCTGCCCCTAATTTTTTTTTTTTTTAATAAAAAGTAATTTACTGCATCCAAATAAATATGAACTCAAGTACAGAGCTCTTCAACATGAAGATTCAAAGACCGAATTTTGATCCATAGTTCCACCTCTGCAAGAAGATTTATTTTAAAACAGAAGGAATACATTGCTCCTGAAACCTGCTGTATTTCCTCTCAATGTTATTGCTTTTAATTCTTTCTTCACAGATTCACTTAGTTTAGAAACATTCCAGGACTAATGGCACAAAACAAAACTCCTCCCATCTCATATATTCCACTTTACAAGAGCCCAGCCATGCCGTAGATATTTTCCATTCTCAGTCTTGATACTCTACAGATGTGGAATTAGAACTCCTCACACTCTCAGGGAATGCCTGGTGGGATTGTCCATGTGTGTTTGACTTCCCTGAGTAATTTCTCCATTACTTTAGCTCCCCTGAATGTGGGCATTGTGCCCAGTGGGGTAACACTTGCTGTACCAACCCTTAATTCGGAGAAGGCTTATCTGTCAAATCAGGCAGGGGCTACCACCATTTACTATTCCAAATTCCTCTCTTGCTTAGGACAGAACTAAAAGAAACAAGAAACTGTGGTTGGCAAAGGTCTGGAACTTGAAATTGTCTTTATAGTTCCATCCCTCAAAAAATACACTACAGGAATAAAAGTCACTGGTGCAGGACTCAGGGGGTTCCCTCGGGCTCCCTTTCATCTGAAGTCTGACAGAAGCTGTTCTTCAGTTATTGCACTAGGGAAAAAAGGTATGTGTAATATAGAGAGGACACACATAAATAAAAAAGCTGAGGGTTTTTTTCCCTAGGGAAATTGTCTTTTGGTGCTTTGATACTGGATTTTGGGCAGGTAGCCATGATCTGTAGCTGTAGGAAAGCAGAGGCCTGGATGAGCAATTAGGGAGGGCAGACCAATGTTTTTGCTTTTTTCCCTGTATTGTATTTACTGTTAGAAATTAAATTAAAATAAACAGCTATATAATACTGCCATCATCCTCTATGGTAGTGGATGATAACTTGGGCCTGCATGTCAAGGAAGCTGCAAACACCCAACTCTGCGAGATTTTTGTCTGTGCCAACTTCCTTCTCTTTCCCTCAGAAGCCTTAGTATCTTGCATGGAAATGGCTGGTATTTTATATCATATCTACAGTGCTGAAATTTGTGGACAGATAGTCATATAAACTTACTATACGTTTGTGAGTTATCCTAAGACTGTTCCTTACTGCTATGCTTTTAAGGAAGATTCATTAGAAGTGGGTGTGCTGTTTTTTTATGCATTGCTAATTGTTTATAACAGATTGTTTTCTTTAAGCTTTTTGCCAGCATACTGATTTTATCTGTGTTTATTGTTATGCCACCTGTTTAAAAGCAAAGGTTAATTGTTAACTCCATTTTGTTGAAAAAGAAGTGGCAAGTTGGTCAGGTTTTGCTCGTTCATTTTTAAGTTGATCATGCAACTTCCTATTAAAGCAGTTTTCAGGGAGTCACAAGAGAAGCTCTTACACCATCTACAGTGACATAATTTTTCATGTATGTCACCTTTTCCCCGGGTTAGTGGAAGAAACTCCTTCATCTGATGCCTTTGAAAATGGCTGTGCCTTTTTTTCCCTTTAGTGGCACAGCTGAGCCCCTGGGTAGCAGCTGTCTATTTTGCATTACTGTTGTGACAGATACAAACAACATGTGCTTCTTAATAACAGACATCAGACTGAAGACATTGCCAGTGATATTCTGTCAGTGGCTTGTGAGAAAACTCATGATTTAACAGAAACTTCTGATTTTATTTATTTGGATGAGTTTTGTTTGCTTTATTACAGACTTCAAGTGAGACTAGAGTGGTGATATGGGAGAAGACAGGTGCTTTCTTTGTGATAAGTAAATGCAGACTCCCCTTTTATTCTGACTTTTCAAACTACTCCTTCTACTGCCCTTTGGGGTTCATCTCTGTTCACTCAGCTGTGGTTACTATAAGTAAGCAACTCCAAAGCCTCACATTCTTTCAGAAGTTGGTGAAGTTTGTCTGGCAGACGGGGCCAGAACTTAATCAGACTCATGAATGACTAGATTGGTCCTTCAAAGGATCTGGAGCTTCCTGGCTGTTTGTTTTCTGAGCTGTAAGAATGGGATTGTGCTGGTTGTGAAATATGCATTGCTTCTATGAATAGTCAGTGGGTTATAGGTGAAGGCAAGAGCTGGAATGCCTGAGTTGAGGTCCAGTGTTGCCATTGTCCCAGCAGCCCTGGGCAATGCACGTGTTCTCTCACTGTCATGTTTTCTTCCATTTGTGCAGCGGGATAATGACGTCTGTCTACCCCATGGGGTTGAGGTCAGGAATAATTAGCTTGTATGTCCATGGCCCTCATTAAACAGGGTTGTAGGAATCCCTCCTATACCATCTTCTTTAGCTCAAGCTGTAAAGTTTTATGGCATTTGAGTTCTGCTTCTGCTCCAGTGTTTGTGTGGATGTGCTGATAACAACACTGTCTGGTTCTGGCGTCCAGACAGTTCTCCAACTGTGCCAGAGCTTCTCTGTTGAAACTGAGGCCTTGTCAGGGAGAGGAAATAATATGGATTATATGGATTGTGTACCATTGCCCTCTGTTGGGCAGCAATAGGCTTAGTTAAAGTGCTTGTCCTGTTTTGGGCTTGAAAAACTTGAGAGAGATAAACATTCAGTAAGTAACTTTAAAGTGTTTAGTGACAAATGGACCATCTTTTAGCAGACAATACATGAAACTACCTAGCCAGGTTAGTTATTGCTGCTAAGTACAGGACTGCATAGGGTCTTCACACTGCTGAGTGTCCACAGCATGCCCTTCTGCTTAGCATTTTAATAAAAGATGATAAAATTAAGTTTAATACCTTTAACTTATTTTTATTTACTGGCGTAGTATTCCAGTAGGCTTAGCACTGTTGCCTGCTGATTTGTCTTAGCTCTGTCTTCTTGTGCTCTCCCAGCTGTGTTTCTGTCTGTGCCACTGTGTGACAGGGACCAGAGTCAGGTGTTCTGGGGGTTGGACCAGTCCCTAAAACACAGAGGGAAACAGAAGCTTGGAAACCTACCCCATCCTATGCTCTAATATAATAGAATCTGTCTGCTTTACTGGTCACACGATTTTATTTTCTTTTCATGGTTTTTACCTGTTTTTTAGTTTAACTATGCTTTTTCAGGAGGTTTGTGTGCTTTGTCAAAAAATACAATGCATCTCATACACACTGGAGCATCCGAAAGGGAGATTGTGAATAATGGCAAAAATTTAAATAAAATATAAAAGGCACAAACAGTCAAATTATTATCTGGGGGAAAAGAGTTACAGTATGCCCTTAATCCTCACTGTAGTTGTGAACTTAGTCCTGAAGCACCTTTGTGTTCTTTGCCCTCCTGTGCAGTTTGTGGCAGAGCATTCAAAGGAGTAGAAACTATTACAAAGGTCACAAGGGAAAAATAAAAGCACTGTTGCTACTCCCTGAATGTTATCCATTTGGATTGCTGCCATCCAAACCTCTGGTCATGCTGCTACTCATTTGAGGTTAAATACACAGGAGTCACATCTAACTCCAGTAGTGCACACCCAGAACACTGTGATCTGTATCTAATTCTGCAGGGTAAATAACAGCCCACTAAAATACAGGAGCAGATGAGTGGGGATCTGTTCCTTTGAGAAACCTCCACAGTGATTTTGAAAAAGCATCTACCTAAACTTCAAGATCTTTGTGGCTGCCTTAGTAACAACCATCTTCTCTTCACTGTCCTTGGCTGGATTATGTGGTCTGTTGTTGATCCAGAACAATCCAATCTGAACTCCACAAACCTAGATGGGTTCAGGGTGATGTCATCCTGTGTCTGGGATGCTGAGACTTCATTTCTCATACCAGATCAAGCCTGCTTAGATGAGGAGTAAATTCAGGTGCGGCCCTGCAAGAACACGGTGAGGTGTTGCTTGTAACTTAACTGTGTACTTATCCTAATGTGATCAAAATTAAAATTTCACTTCCTGTAACAGCTTCACCCTTTAAAAAAATAATTCCCATGCCAAAGATTTTGCAATAGTTGCACTGAAGAAATACCTGTGTAAGTAGAGAGAGAGAGAGGGACATGCATAATCACCTGCCTTCCTGCACTCTCCACTCTTTCAAAAACTCTATGATCCTCATCTATCCATATATCCTGTAGCATCCAGCCCACCTGTTTGATGCATTTATTTGGGGATGGAGTTACTCTCTTTTTAAGAATGCCCCTCCTCATTGATTATACAGGAGGCCAAGGCAGTGACTTCAGCCTCAGCAGAGTCCCAGCTGAGATAACTCTCCATTTGTTTGCACATAGAAAAGAGCAAGTTCCTGGCAGAAGGTGACAGGAGAAAATCTGATTGGTGCCTTATTGTTTTGTCAATCACATTTTTTACTCTCCAGGCTTCAAAAACCTACCAGGCTCCTGATACCAAGTTCAGTGCTTGTGAATTCATGACCTGTTGTGATTTGTGGTGCTGCACATTTCTCTGGGAGGTGAAATCCTGGCCCTGCTGACAGAAGTGGTAAATTAGCAAAGCTCTCAGTGTCTTAGCTGGGACCAGGATTTTGCTCCATGTGGTCAAAGGATTTTGACTTTCTTGTTCTGTTCTTGATTTGTCTTTGAACTACATTTTTCTGAGGGCATATGGATTCAGTAGGTAGATTTATTAATTTCTACATTGAATTTTTTTTTTTTTTTTACCACCACTTGGAAAATCTCTTGGTGTTTTGAACTGCCACAGCAAGTAAAGAGTAGTGGACTTTACAGACACAGTGGACGGAATAATCTTCAACTTTCACTTAAGACTTGAAATGATGTGGAGCCATAGTGGGGAATTACTTGGAAATT